ACTTGGAAGGGCCACTTCCCTGCATTGGCCACAAAAGGGTGAGTCAAGTTGGAACGGCCACTTCCTTCTCTAAATTTTACCCCTGCATTGCGCACAAAAGGGTGAGTCAACTTGGAAGGGCAACTTTCCTCGCTTGGAAGGGCAACTTTCCTCTCTAATTTTTACCCCTGCATGGCCCAAAAAAGGGTGAGTCAACTTGGCATGGCCACTTCCTTCTCTAAATTTTATCCCTGCATTGCCCACAAAAGGGTGAGTCAAGTTGGAATGACCACTTCCTTCTCTAAATTTTACCCCTGCTTGCCCACACAAAAGCGTGAGTCAAGTTGAATTGGCAACTTCCTTTTCTAAAAAAAAACCCTGCATTGCCCACAAAAAGGTGAGTCAAGTTGGAATGGCCACTTCTTTCTCTAAATTTTACCCTCGGGTGGCTCACCAAAGGGTGAGCCAAATTGGAAGGGCAACTTCCTTCTCTAAATTTTACCCCTGCATTGCCCACTTAAAGATGTGAGTCAAGTTGGAATGGCCACTTCCTTCTCTACATTTTACCTCGGGTTGCTCACCAAAGGGTGGGTCAACTTGGAAGGGCAACATCCTTCTCCAAATTGCACCTTGCATGGCCCACAAAAGGGTGGGTCAACTTGGCATGGCCACTTCCTTCTCTAAATTTTACCCCTGCATTGCCCTCAAATTGGTGAGTCAAGTTGGAATGACCACTTCCTTCTCTAAATTTTACCCTCGGGTGGCTCACCAAAGGGTGAGTCAACTTGGAAGGGCAACTTCCTTCTCTAAACTTCACCCCTGCATTGCTTACTTAAAAGGGTAGTCAACTTGGAATGGCCACTTCCTTCTCCAAATTTTACCCTCAAGTGGCCCACCAAAGGGTGGGTCAACTTGGCATGGCCACTTCCTTCTCTAAATGTTACTGCATTGCCCGCAAAAAGGGCGAGTCAACTTGGAAGGGCAACTTCCTTCTCTAAATTCTACCCCTGCATTCCTCACAAAAGGGTGAGTCAACTTGAAATGGCAACATCCTTCTCTAAATGTTACCCTCGAATGGCTCCCCAAAGGGTGAGTCAACTTGGAATGGTCACTTCCTCAAGTGGCTCACCAAAGGGTGAGTCAACTTGGGAGGGCAACATCCTTCTCTAAATTTTACCCCTGCATTGCCACAAAAGGGTGAGTCAAGTTGAAATGGCAACATCCTTCTCTAAATTTTGGCTCACCAAAGGGTGAGTCGACTTGGAAGGGCAACATCCTTCTCTAAATTTTACCCCTGCGTCAACCAGTGAAACACACGTGAAAGCACAGACATGAGAGCACATAACAGAAAACAAATATTCTTTGTTGAGGGAATGGGCGACGACAGTGCCACAACCTAAGTGAGGGCATGAGTGACTACTGACACTTGTGATGTGAAAACTTATGCAGGGCATACATTCCTATGTTCTGAATGCGTGTGATAAAACAGACCTGGTTAACGGGTTTCGTTATATATAAAGGAAATGCTACTACAATCAGTATCAGAACTTTAAGATGTGCGAGACCTACAAATTGCTGACTAGTAATTGTATAAAAGCTTATTCTACTGAGAGCTATGCTTTTACCTTAGCTATCTGCGAGACAAGTGAAAAAATGATTTCAGTAGATGTGCCACGTGTGAGCGCGGGCATAGGTACAGCATAGGCGCGGGTACAGGTACGCTTTGTCGGCGCGTGGTACTGGTACGGGTACGCCTTGTCGGTGCGTGGTACTGGTACGGGTACATGTTGGTGCGTCAAACAGTGCGGGGTGCGGGCGCGGGTGCGTCTTGTTGGTGCGTCAAACAGTGCGGGGTGCAGGTGCGGGTGCTAAGGGGGCAGCGCCTCATCCGCGCACACGGATTCGACTCAAGCGCGCACACACACGTTATCAGCCCTTGTGCCTCATCTGCGCACACACTTGTTGACTCAAGCGTGCGCACACACCATCGGGGGGACTCAAGTGCGCACACAGGCCCTTTCCCGAATGTTGCTGCGTATTCCAAATTTCACCCCTGCATTGCTCACTTAAAAGGGTAGTCAACTTGGAATGGCAACTTCCTTCTTTAAATTGTACCCTCAAGTGGCTCACCAAAGGGTGAGTCAATGGGTGGGCAACATCCTTCTCTAAATTTTACCCTCGGGTGGCTCACCAAAAGGTGACTCAACTTGGAAGGGCAACATCCTTCTCTAAACTTTACCCCTGCGTGGCCCACAAAAGGGTGAGTGAACTTAGCATAGCCACTTCCTTCTCTAAATTTTACCCCTGAATTGCCAACACAAAGGGGTGAGTCAAGTTGAAATGGCAACATCCTTCCCTAAATGTTACCCCTGCATTGCCGACAAAAGATTAGTCAACTTGCAATGGCATGAGAAGGGCCACTTCCCTGCATTGGCCACAAAAGGGTGAGTCAAGTTGGAAAGGCCACTTCCTTCTCTAAATTTTACCCCTGCATTGCCCACAAAAGGGTGAGGCAAGTTGAAATGGCAACATCCTTCTCTAAATTTTACCCTCGGGTGGCTCACCAAAGGGTAGGCCAGCTTGGAAGGGCCACTTCCCTGCATTGGCCACAAAAGGGTGAGTCAAGTTGGAATGGCCACTTCCTTCTCTATTTTACCCCTGCATTGCCCACAAATGGGTGAGTCAACTTGGAAGGGCAACTTCCTTCTCTAATTTTTACCTCTGCATGGCCCACAAAAGGGTGAGTCAACTTGGCATGGCCACTTCCTTCTCTAAATGTTACCCCTGCACTGCCCACAAAAGGATGAGTCAAGTTGGAATGACCACTTCCTGCTGTAAATTTTGCCCCTGCTTGCCCACACAAAAGGTCAAAAGGGTGAGTCAAGTTGAATTTGTAACTTCCTTTTCTAAAATTTTACCCCTGCATTGCCCACAAAAGGGCAAGTTGGAATGACCACTTCCTTCTCTATATAAATGTTACCCCCGGGTGGCTCGCCAAAGCGTGAGCCAAATTGGAAGGGCCACTTCCTTCTCTAAATTTTACCCCTGCGTTGCCCGACATGAAGGGGTGAGTCAAATTGGAATGGCAACTTCCTTCTCTATTTACCCTCGGGTTGCTCACCAGAGGGTGGGTCAATTTCGAAGGGCAACATCCTTCTCCAAATTAAACCTTGCATGGCCCACAAAAGGGTGAGTCAACTTGGCAAGGCCACTTCCTTCTCCAAATTTTACCCCTGCGTGGCCCACACAAGGGTGAGTCAACTTAGCATAGCCACTTCCTTCTCTAAATTTTTCCCCTGCATTGCCAACACAAAGGGGTGAGTCAAGCTGAAAGCAACATCCTTCTCTAAATTTTACCCCTGCATTGCCGACAAAAGGATTAGCCAACTTGGAATGGCAACATCCTTCTCTAAACTTTCCCCTTGGGTGGCTCACCAAAGGGTAGGCCAACTTGGAAGGGCCACTTCCCTGCATTGG